AACAGTTAAAAAAAAAGTGAATCTGTAAAGAAATGGATCTATGATTGAAATCCGAAGTGTCATATCATCCAGCTAACTTTTGATTGAGAACATACCATGAATGAGATAGAGCCTGGAACACAGCATTAGAACGTTCTCCCATTAATAACAGGAATAATAACTCCAGCCGTACCTAAACACCTCCTACTAAATTATACCAATCCCAGTTGATATGAATTTAGTCATGTGTAGGAGCTTCGATTAAATGAAGAAGATATTGGCATTTCATTAAAATTCTTAGTTCTTTCTCATAATGCTATTATTTTAGACCATCCACATTTCACTTGCTACTCAAATAACAAAACTCTTTTTCGATGAAGTCCATAATTATATCAAGAATGTTAATTTGTGTCTTGTAATTTCATGTCCACATGACTATTTAACAGTTTTATTGATTTCAGATTTTGTAAACTATCCATTGATAGTTGTTAAAAACTATTTAGCAGTTCACTATTGGATTTTTTTCTTGTATAGTTTTATTCACAAATAATTATCTAAGAAAACATAATTTCAGATTTTGTAAACTATCCATTGATAGTTGTTAACAAATTTGTGGTAGGGCAAAATGAAATTCGCGCCTCTGTTCCAGGAAGTTCGTGCATAGAGCGGTGTATGTAAAAATTATTGTTCACATCCTTGACAAAACTCAAATATTGACCATGGAGTATAGGTCCGGATTTATGGACCGGTTAAACAGTCCATTTATCATTTCACTGACTTTAACCGCAAGTAATGGTTCAACAAAATTGCATTTTGTACCCTAACTCTATTCAATTGAATAATCGCTAATCGGTTAAGCTTGTAGGATAGAGTTAGGCATATAGGGTAATCTCACCCTCTTGCACTTGTAAGAAAAAAAAAGAAAAAAATAATTAGATTAACAAAGAAAACAATATAATAGATGTCTAAATTAATGAAAGTGTTTAACCCTACAACCCTAAAAAATCACCAATAAAATAGATAATTAAAACATAAAATATTCCAAATATTTGTTTTCGTTTTCTCTACTTCTGGGAAAATATTAATTCATGTTTTCATTAAGGATGACATGTTGCGTCACAACCAAACATGTAGACTTCTAAAAATTTTAAAAATAAATAAATAGAGTGATGAAGTGGATAGAATTTATGAGAAAAGAAAAGAAATTTTAAAGAAAGAGAAAAAATAGAGTAGTAGAGTAAATAAAATTAGTGCCAACAAATGTAGGAAAATGATAAAGTAAACGAAACACTTCAAATTTTTTACACTGTAGGTAAGATTCGAACCCTCCACCTTCAATCCAAAGGGGGACTTAATCCCTTTTTGGTGGTCATTGAATCAAAGTTCAGTAGTTGACTATATTTGACTGCAACCTATTGTGACGACGATGCGAAGGGAAGGACTGGAATGGTATAAAATAAAGCATATTCGACACTCCAATATTTGGGAAATAATGGCGTAAAATTGTAAATGGAAAAATATAAGGCATCTTCCAAGGCTTCAGACAAGTTGGCCATTAATGGATACGCTATTTAGGTCGATTGATCTTTCTGTTCTTTACTACAATTTTATGTATATGAAAAATGTTATTGATTTTTATGAAGAATAAATATGCTATTATTTCGCTCCCATTATGAAACAAAAAAAAGTACTTTTTTCCTCTATCAAAAACACTTGAGAGTTAGAAGTCGATCTACCATCGAAAAAACATGTGAAGGGGCATAAAATCAAATTTTCCAAGTGTCATATCACCTCACTAGCCTGACTATTCTAGAAAGCATGTTATTATAGCTAGAACTAGGGGAAAAATAAGATTAGAATCTTCTCCGATTAAATACAGGAATAATAAATATTTCCAAAACACCTAATTTCACCTACTAAATTCACACCAATAACTTTTTTTCACCATATTATTGTGTTAGACCATCCAAATATCTCCATGCAACTCAAGCAACAAAATCTTAGATAAAACTCATAGACCATCCAAAAATTGTTTACATTTTCAAATTTCATGTTTGCACGACTATATATAAACTAGCGTTTCATTAATTGTATAGCTTTACTCAAAGAAAAACCATCAATTTAGTTTTACTCTGACATCTAGCATAGAGTGGTCCATAACAAATAATAGTTAATCCTTGAATTTCTTTAGATAACCGACATATGATTCAAGAATTTAAATATGTTATTTATTTGGAGCAGATACAGAGGAACTTTGCGGTTTATTTCAAGGTATCTGATATCTTGGAAGGAAGAGATGTATCAAAAACAAAATAATTCAGTAGTTTTTCCTCCACTGGCTTAGACACGAGGAACTTTAAAATAAAGTCTTTAAATACCTGGGGCAGAAATGGCAACATTGTCAACATTTTTTTTTAATCTTTCTGGTAGTGACCTAAGTTTCCTCAACGAAAGACCCAATTATAAGAGATAAGAGTTGAATTAGGGGAAGAGAGAGAGATTGGACTTGGCAAAATAGCAGGATTAACTATTGAAGTTTTACAAATGAATCATTGGTAAAAAATGAACATTTTCAATTAACTTTCTACTTTTGGGATTCAGAACAGTTCTAAAGACCAGGAAATGGCAGGTTGTATACCTGATGCAATAGGATGTCTTCAAAGTACACAACTGCAGACTTCATGAATGACTTATTCCAGTCTTCTAGTCAGAGACATATGGGTGGATCACTAGAAACAACAAACTAAGGATCCAGACTGAGATACGGGCGCCAGCAAAGGGAGATTTTTAGACCATAGTGCATCTTGAACCTGTTTGACTGACTCAAACCATGGCAGAAACAGAAAAGAACTACGAAGCATGACCAGCTTCTTTAATGGAAAGCAGGAGTATCATCATTTGATACCTAACAATTGATGAAGCAATATAAGCCGATGGTGCTATCTGAGATTGGAGCCTCAAGCTATCACCATCCAAAAATCCCGTGTAGACAAACGGGCCATCACAAGAGTACATTGCAATTGAAATGGAGGTAGACGATGAGTCTAGTGATACAACTGCAGCAGGATAACAGTTAAGATCATGACAAAGAGGAGGTACCAACAGCAAAATCTCCCAATAAACCTCCTACAGGAGAACAAAATTGCGTAAATTTTTGCTGTATAGATGAGTTTTCCCGGTTATTATGTAAAACTTACAGCACCATCAATCCTGATATTTTAGGAGAAAGAGGATAGAAAATATTCCTACGCTAGTAGACATGGACATGGACTTTTGAAGGCCGCATCAGGAGTTAGGACGCCAAGGTTCGAGGGCAACTGTTTTAGCGTACTAGAAATTAGACGATCATGCCAATATTTTCAAAACCATAAAGAGTTTTACATACAATAATAATGTCAAAGCAATGATACGATTAGCGTTTTTTGGACTTGATAATCATAGTTCAAGAAATATGAATTCAAGTGCAGACTACTGAAGTTCATTTTTGTGTATCAAAAATTAAAAAAATTTTCTTTTGTATTCAAATAATATTTGATTTTCATTTTGAATTTTTAATGTTTAAAGTAGGCAATAAATATAACTACATTATAAACTCTCGTTTTCCGCGCGCGGCTGGGGTGGGTGGGGGGGAAGCGTTTGTTTAGGAAGAAAATAATTTTTCAAAAGCTTTGGAGATACAATGGTAGGATGAGTCCAGGCATGATGATATTAGAGCAAATCTCGCATGCTCGTTGCATGGGATGAGTTTTGGCCAACGAGTTATGGTTCCAACCATGCAAGGAAGTGCTGTCAACAAGTCTCTATGTGGGATGAGTCTGACCTTGTGAGCCATTTAACGGGAACCACCTTTTAAGCCCGTCGCTTTGCAAGGTGAAAGGAAGTAGCATCCCACATTCCCACATCGGTGGAAGGAAGGGAAAATGAATGGTGGATCCAATGGTTACTTTGTAATTTGAGTTAACCATTTTGTGACATTAGCGGCATAGTTTCCTTAAACAAAGACTGAAGATTGAGAAATTTATAAACTAAATATAAGGGCTAATAGATTTATTCAATGAATAGAGGAAAGAAAAATAATGAAAGAATAATGATGAGCCAGCTAGTGTCGTAGAATTAATTACTTTTCTAAATCTAAATCCACTTCGCCAAAAAAATTTTGCTGCAGCACCTGGATGAAGATATACAAAGACCAGTGTCAGTTGTGCATGAGCATCCGTTAGCCGGTTAAAGGCTTTGCGGGTGATTGCTTGTGGTGAGGGATTTTTCATTTCTTTTATAAATATTTATGAATGTACACATTTAAAGTATCCTTTTACTTACATAAAGGAGCTAACCGCCAAATATGACCGAAGGACTAGAAACATGAAATCAAGGCATGATGATTAAATAAATTTAGGAGGACAAAATCCAACTAATTAATGTCTTAGAACTCCCTCGTGAATCCAACTTCTCTGGAAAGGGAAAAAAATTCTCTGAAGAAGAATTTATTTTGTTTTGTAGGAAAGAATAGGAGAATCTCTTAAGCAAAACATGTTTCCTATAATGGTCGAAAGCTATGGAGAAGGAGAAGTTACATCGTTCTGAAACTAAGATGGTTAGATATTTCACGAGATTGAAAAGAATTACCTACCATGGAATAATTGTTAGAGGGGGTTTCGAATATTTTTTTTATACGAAACGTCTTAACGTTATCAACTGAATCAATTTTTACTCACACTTAGGCTGAAAAAGAAAGAAAAGAATCCAGAGTTGTGTGGGCCAAAATTTGGACCTAATGATTCCAAGTTAAGATTGTAGGAGAATGTCACAAATCCTTTGCTTGTAACTTTTGAGATTTCTTCCTTCAAAAAAAAAAAAACTTGTGAGACTTCTAAGAGTTAGCGTGATTTTACGTAATGTTCAATACTTGTGCACTACACAACCTGGAAAGTAAATGCAAGAACTTAGCTTTGCTTTCTTATCAATATAAGTAGTGATTCCTTACCTATTACTAGTACTTTCTCCTGTATACCGGACCACCTGCATTGCAAAAGGTTTTGCCAATATAAATTAGCTTCTTTCTTTGGTTCAATTCATCTAAATATTTTCTTCTGCTTAAATTCAAAGTTTTCAGAACGTAGCTTTACAATATACAAGGAATTTCTACATATTTGTCGCATCTGTTGTCGCCTCGCAGGAGTATTCATTCCCTCTCAAGTAAGTGCTCAAATGCTTTTAACAATTGTTTGGTTGCAGTATAGGTTCTACTGTTTTTTTGTTTTTGAACATTTCTTCAGCTAATTCCAGCTTTTCTTGTTTTATTATGTATATATTTTGCACTTTGCTCATTGACGGGTTTCAAATTCGTCTCTGGCTTTGTCCGATGGTTCAGTAGCCTGTAGTTAGGCTTAAGACATGTATTTCGAGTAACCCGTCCATTAACAAATTTTTTTTTAAAGTTGTTGCGTGCAAAAAAGAAAGTTCCATATTCTTAATTTAGGTTTGCACTGATTTTGAAATTTCCGAGAAGAGAAAATCCATTTAAGTTGTTTGGTACATGATTGTTGCCTTTGTCACTAAAACAAATGGTTTGTACGGTAATTTTTGAAGATGCCTCTAAAAAACTAGGGAATGGTTTCAATAGTTCCTCAACTTTTACCAGTAATTTTTCTATTTGATCTCTAGCTTTTGAAAGTGTCTATTAGGTCCCTTAACTTATAAATTTGGTTCCAAATTGTTCATATCCCTCCAAGCCAAATCCTAGTGTGGTAACGTTCATTTGATTTCAGGTATATTTTCCTTCTCAAAGTTTTGAAAATAAAGGATAACCATTTTGAATAGTTTTTTAGTTAAGTATTTTATGGTTGACCAAGTTGAGTAATAAAAAATAACACTATTCTTGTATAAATTTACATAAGGTAAAAAAATTACTATTTAGTGCATCACAAGCTTAGCATTACCTTATGCTTATAATTTTGCTACCTTTGTTTTTTGTTATTAGTATGCAATCATCATTACTATTCTATTAAAGCCTAATAAACCTAAACTAGTAAATCTAAAAGTAACATTAATCTAACAAGAATAATGAAAACTTGTACAGAAATAAATTTTAAAAAAATTCTTTTAGCAATTTAACATTTTTTAAGACAATACTATACAAAAGATGATAAAATGTGAAAACGAAATATTGTAAAAAGATTAAAGTAAACAAGAATCCAAATGTCTTTTGTTAAGCTACCCTTTTGTTAAGCTACCCTTTTATTATCTTATCTTCTTCTTCGTACCCTTTTGTGCTACACCTGTCATTGGAATCCAAATAAATCGATTAGCCCCACAATAGAATGATAATAATTATACCAATTTACTACATAAATCAATAAATGTAGTGAATAAAAATCAATAAAATTAGTGATTCCTTTCCTACTACTATTACTTTCTCTTGTATACTAGACCATAACTTTTTTAGTTTAAAAGGCATTGAGAGGGTTTCTGCTAAAAATCCCTTCCTGAATACATATAGATATAGATTTCTGAGATTTGATTTTTTAAAAAAATCTATATCAGCCACAAACTCATAGCTTAGACAGTTTAGGCCACGATACCGTGCTTAATGTTGGTAGATTCTCCCTTTCAAAAAAAAAAAACGCATTCATAACAAATACATTCCTGGTCAAAAAATTTGAAGCTTCTTTCCAAATTCTATATTACGTGGAGCACGTATATGATTGTTCGGATTTGAGTTCCAGCTTGTATATATCTTTCAAGGGCAATTAGGTCCCCCTAAGGCAAAGCCACATCTAAACTGAAGGTACTTTGCTGTCTCCCTTGCAGGGGATCTCAGTGCAGCTTGTATACTAGACCATAACTGCAAAAGTGTTTGCTATTATTAAGTTGCTTCTTTCTTTGGTTGAAATTATTATCTTTGTCCAAATGTTTTTCTCTTCTACTTATTAATTTGCTTCATTCTTTGGTTGAAATTATCATCTTCATCCCAATATTCTCTTCTGCATAAATTTTTGAGTACATAGCTTTCCAATATACGAGGAGTTTCTGCACATTTATCAGAACAGTGCCAAAATATTTAAACTTTCTCAAGTAAGTTCTCAAGTTCTTTTAACTTGTATATCAAATAAAATTTGGCTGAAATATAGCTTCCACTATTTTGTTCTCTAAATATCTTCTGCTAATAATTTGTTTGTCGTCAAATAAATTTTTGGGCTGGAATTTTGCTTCCACTTTTTCTTGTATATTTATGCATATGGTTTCCACTTTGCTCTTTGATCTTGACAGATATCGAAGTCGTCTTGGCTTAGTTCTATGAGTTTATAGCTAGCTTATAGTTATGCATAAAGTAATATTTTAGATAACAATTCCAACAAAAATATTTTTTAAGTTATTGAGTGTAAAAAGAAAGTTCCATATCCCTAATTTAGGTCTATACTGATTTTTAAATTTCTCAAAAAAAAAAGAAAAACCATTTAATTTGTTTGCTGCATGATGTTCCCTTTGTTTCCAAAAAATTGCATGGATTGCTTTTGGAAATGCCTCTAAAAAACTAGGTATCAGGCTTCAATAATCTCTCAACTTTGAGCAATAATTTTATTGCATCTACAAAGTCCTTCAACTTATAAATTTGGTTGGTTGCTCCAAATCAAATCCAAGTTTGGTAATATTCATTTTGCCCTTAAGGTTTGATTTTTCATTTTGCTTATCAAAGTGTAAAATAAACTATTTCAGCCATTAGAGGGATTTACTTTATTGTATGATATTTAATAGTTTAAGCATTTAATAATTGAATAATTTGACTAACAAAAAAAATAATTAGAGTGTGTTTAAATAGAAGATTATTTGAAATACTATTTGAAAAAATTTGTTACAGTATTTTTTGAGATTTGATGTATGTGAAATATAAAAGTAGTTTAAAAAGTAAAAAAATTAATTGACAATAGTTTTCATAATGCAACCAAAATATTATTTCGGATAACTTTGTTTTCCAAACACACTCACAATATTTCTAACGATTTACATATACTAAAAAAAATGAAAAATTACTCTTTAACACATGACAAGTTAGCATCGCCTTATGTCACGAATTTTGCTAACTCATTTAGTATTGTTACAATGTTATCATCATTATTATTCTGCTTATAATATTATAAACCTAAAAAAATATATCTGAAAAGAAACATTAAACCAACAAGAATAAGAAAAGATTATATACAAAATAAACAATAAATCTTTAATGTTTTTGTATAGTTGTTATTATAGAAAAGATCATAAAGTTTGACAATGAAACAATTATAGAAAAGATACACGCAAATAAAAATCCCAATACCTTGTTTTGTTTTATTTTCCTTCTTCTTCTTTCATTCTTTGTGTGCTTCTTTTTTTAAGTACCCTATTTTGGCTAAACTTCTCATTAGAATCTAAATATATCATTTAGCGCCAAATTAGAATGATAATGTGCATAACAGTAAATTGGAATTAATATGCACAACAAAAAAATTTTTTTTTTACTCTTCCATCCCTCTCCACACCTTTTCCACCCCGAACTATCAGGCACAAAATTTGAATTCTGAACCTGATAGTAGTGAAGATTCTAAGATCCCTTCTCTCACCATTAGTAATCAAACTAGTCAACAACTAAATATTTATCGAAACCATTAAAGTGGCAAATTTGACTACTTTTTAAGTTAACTTGGGAGGAGCTAAACTTACATTAAAATGAATCTTAGTATTATAGAATGAAATTTTCTTGATTAGATTCAGTCTTTGGGACGAATTAAAACCAAATTCAGAATTTTCCACACATATTAAATTATTCAAATATGTCAACTATTAGATAATAACTGAAACTAATAAAAAGGACAAATATGTTTTTTATTTAAACTTAGAGTAGGAAAATAGACATTAAATTGAACCTCGGTGGGAAAGTAAATATTACCATAATGAGATTTAGCTTGGATGCACTATTCATAACTTAATTTATAAGTTGAGGAACTCAATTATACAAGTCGAAAGACCAAAAAAACCATTGGTAAAGGTTGAAGGACAATTGGGAGTCATTTACCCAAAATTTTACTCGAGATAAAATTGGTGTTTGAAAGTATATCCTACAACTAGTAATATGTTTCTCGATTTTGTAACCAGGCATGTCCACCAATTATTCTGAAACCATTTCTTTGATTAATCGATAAATATTCTTGGTGGTCATTAACTGGCTGTCTAGAACGAATCGGATCAATGTTTTCATGTTAAATCAGAAGATATTTTTTTGTTCGTTTACTAGTAACAGAAAAACAGCTTTTGCTTCTAACTATGTTCCAATTTTTCATTTTCTATTGGGTCTATCAAGTTATAAATCTCTAATAACTTGATTAACATTGATTTAACTTTCTTGAACTGTAATTTTCAGGTCACACGTGATGGAAGCATTTGTGGGAATTCTCGTAGATACTTTGAATTCCATGATCAAGAAGGAGCTTGGATTGCTTTGTGGCGTTCGAACCGACATGCAAAAGCTTTCACGCTTGCTCTCCACCACCAAGGCAGTGCTTGAAGATGCAGAGCAGAAGCAATTCACAGAAAAGGCGATACAACTCTGGTTTAAGGAGCTCAATGTTGTTGCATGTGAAATCGATGACATATTGGATGATTACGCAGCTGAAGCCTCAAGAGTCAAGTACAAAAATTCTGGTTGTTTTAGTTTGATGTGTTACCCTGTAGCAGGAAACTTAGTGTTTCGTCACAGGATTGGGACAAGGATGAAGGAGATCCTTGAAAAATTTAATGCAATAGCTGATGAGCGAATAAAGCTTGGTTTGAGTGATCAGAAGCGTGGGAGCAACCACTTTCAGGTTGATTCCACTGCAACACGTGAGACTGGTTCCTTGCTAAAGGAACCTGATCTAGTCCTTGGAAGGGACGAGGAGAAAGACAAGATTGTGAAAATATTGGTGAATCAAGTCAGAGATAATCAAAATGTATCAGTGCTCCCTATAGTGGGTGTTGGAGGCCTTGGAAAGACAACACTTGCCCAATTGGTGTTTAATGATGAGAACATAGCCAAGCCTTTTGAGCCAAAACTATGGGCTTGGGTTTCAGAGAAATTTGATGTGAAGAGCATTATAAAAGCCTTAATTGAGTCTGTAGAAAAGACTTCTATTGGAGACTTACACTTGGATGCTCTCCAAAGAAAGCTTCAAGAGTTGTTGAGAGGGAAAAGATACTTGATTGTACTGGATGATGTCTGGAATGAGAATCCACAGGAATGGGAGGATTTGAAATCTGTTCTGCAATGCGGATCAAAAGGTAGTTCAATTGTCACGACAACTCGCATGGAGAAGGTAGCTGAAATAATGGGCACATTAGAGACACATCGTCTATCGAGTTTGTCAGATGATCAGTGTTGGTCACTGTTCAGGCAACGGGCATTTGATTGTCAGCAGAAGCAAGACAGACTTGAAGCTGTTGGAAAAGAGATTGTAAAAAAGTGTGGTGGTGTTCCACTAGCTGCAAAGGCTCTTGGAGGCTTTCTACGATTTAAGTCGGAAGCGGAATGGAACTCTGTGAAATGCAGTGAGCTTTGGAACTTACCTGAAGATGAAACACGTATCTTGCCCGCATTGAGATTGAGCTACCTTAATCTTCCGGTAGAGTTGAGAGGTTGCTTTGCATATTGTGCTGTATTTCCCAAGGGCTCTGAAATTAAAAAAGAAGAGGTAATACATTTGTGGATGGCAAATGGATTGATTACTTCTAATGGAACGATGGAAGTGGAAGATGTTGGTGATGCTGTGCTGACTGAACTACATTATAGATCATTGTTCCAAGCTGTGAGGAAAGATGTGTTTAGCTATGGCAGTGTCCCTGCTTTTAAGATGCATGACCTTGTCCATGATCTGGCTCGATCCGTAATGGAGGCTAAACACGGTGGAACAGAGTCAAACAGAACCATGATGTTGGATATGCCGAATGATCGGCTAACAGTGGCTTTTCCTATTACAATCACAGGCACTGACCGGTTCTCTTCTTTCTTGTCAAAATGTGGTTCCCTGAGGGCTCTCATTAGAAGGTCAGCGTATTGGAGAGAGAAGTTTGCAGAGCTGCCACCTGCTGTAAGCAATCTAAAACATTTAAGATATCTAGATTTTTCAAGATCCAGCATTTTTGAACTACCCAATTCAATTTGTGACTTGTAGAATTTGCAAATTTTAAACCTAAATGACTGTCACAAACTTCGGTGTCTGCCCAAAGGCATGAGATTCCTTAGAAATCTTCGACATCTTTGTCTACATGGGTGTGCGAGTTTGACTCACATGCCAAGTGGAATTGGGAAGCTGACTTGCCTGCGGACATTGAGTATGGTCGTCTTGGGTGACAAAAAAGGCCTCCGACTAAGTGAGTTGCGAGACTTAAATATGCTTAGAGGAGAACTAACAATTGAGCACCTTGATAGGATTGAAGACAAAAAGGATGCAGAAGCAGCTTGCTTAATTAAAAAACAGAGTCTCCGCGAGTTGAATTTGCATTGGGATTCCGAAAGAATGTTTCAACAGTACAATGATGAGGAAGTGCTCGAAGCCCTCAAACCCAGCCCCAACCTTCAACGGCTGCATATAAAAGGCTTCAAAGGTTCATCATTTCCATCTTGGATTTCATTGAAACAACTGGAGTTAGAGAACTGCCCGAACCTAAAAGGAATGTTAGGAAGAGAAGTCCAAGGTACTCCAGGGGTGTTCTCTCAACTTCAATCCTTGTCCTTTAGGGATTGCCCAACGTTGACATTGCCATTGCCACGTATGCCGTCCCTAAAGAGGTTACACATCCTGGACTGCCCGAACTTGGCATGGGCTTCAATCTCCAATCTCACTAGTCTTAATTCCCTTGAAATTGTGGGCATTAAAGGATTGAGTTGTTTTCCAGAAGAGATGCTACAAAATCTTAGTCTTCTTGAATCCCTGGAAATTAGTTATACAACGGATCTGCGAGCCTTACCCAGAAGCTTGGCTAGCCTCACGGCTTTGAAGGAATTGACCATCAAGCACTCTCCCGAGCTGGAGTCACTGCCAGAAGAAGGATTGCGAGGCCTTGCTTCTTTGCAGGAACTATATTTGGTCGAGTGCTATAACTTGGTGAGCCTCTCAATGGGGACTAAAGCCCTCAATTCCTTGACTCATCTAAGCATCCAAGGGTCTTACGCGACAGCTCTGCCAGAGGAAGTCAAATATTTCCCCGCACTACAAAAACTGGAGCTGGATGATTTTCCCAATCTAATTTCATTGCCAGACTGGTTTGGAGACCACCTCACTTCTCTTCAACACCTGGAACTAGTCAAATGTCCGAAGCTTGAAACACTTCCATCCAGCATTCAAATGATGATGACACTCCAAAGTTTGAAAATAACTTGGTGCAATGTACTGGGACCACGGTGTGAAAGGGGAGGAGAGGAATGGCACAAAATTAAGCACATCCCGGACCTGACGATTCTGTAATACAATTAATATATTCATGTATTATGTAATAAAGGATTTGTGCACTGTCCTGTAAGTGTGGGAAAGACCAACACTAGTACCTATTTTATACCATACCCAGTTGATATGAATTTAGTCATTTGCTAGAGGTTGGATTAAATGAAGAAGATATTTGGGTTTTTTCTCATAATGCTATTACTTTAGACCATCCACATTTGAAAATGTAAGATTAATTATGGAAAGTAAATAAATACAAGAAAGTGCAGGTGAGCTTAAATAGGGAATGTATATGAATGGAAAAGAGTAAAAATTATTAATATGTGTATATACATGATAGGTTAGATGAATTTTAGATGTATTAACGGGTGCCTTTGACTTAAAGAAACAACTATGAAAATTTTTTCTCTAAAAAAATAACAAAAAAAAAAAAATGAAATGGATCTATGATTCAAAATCCAAAGTATCACGTCGTCTGACGTGAAAGGGGCCAGAGTTGAATTAAAGAGTGATAAATTGGACTTTGTAGAAGAGCAGGATAAACCAATAATCTATTTAAATCTACTAGTGGTTGAAAATCAGAAAACCTTACAGGCCCCAAAAGGGACATGTACCATAACTTTACAGATAACTCTTGACCACACAAGATTCTTCTTCCTATCAAACCAATAACTGATGCAAAGTGTCATGTAGAAGGCGTTTCACATGGCCGACAATTCAGTACAAAACTTGAGGGATTAGACGATACATTCAAACTAACCCAATTTTGGCCTTTGCATCCAATGGCTCCATCGCATGAACTGCAGCATCACTCATACCAAGTGCAAATTGGCTGGGGTAGGACAGATATGCCGTCAGATTTGAAGCTCATGTCAAATCAATAGAGAAATAGATCATTTAAAGGTGGTATATTAGATTTAGCAATTTTCCGAATCATGTGTAATTGCAAAGCATATATAATCAGAATTTCTGCACTGCCATGCAAAATGAACGAGATGAGAGTTAACAGAAAATGCCTCAGAAGTTTTGAACTCTTACAGCTAACAATCAACTCTTGTATATCAAGCTATTTTTGTAAAGATGAGGAGGGTGCTATCCAACATGGAGCCTCAAGCTATGGGCATCATATATTCCAATTGCATCCTCAGAAAAGCCCATGTAGACCAGAGGCGATCACAGCAATATGTTGCACTTGCAATGGAAAGGAAGAAAGCAAGTCTCGTGGATTCCACTGCAATATTTGAAAATTTGTTCGACTTTAAATATTTATCTTAGTTTACGATGGCTGCAATTCGTAAAGCAATCATCTATAACTTTACGCGAAATCACGATTTGCAGGTGAAATCACATAAGATTTTCTTCCACATGCAGCATAATCTATATCCACTTGGCAAATATTAATCAATTTCTTAGACCTACTCTCATTTTTATTTTCTTTTCTCTTCATCTGATGACATTTCTCATGAATCCACCTTCTCTGGAAAATAATTGAAAGAATAGACTCTAAACAAAAGTGTTACACTAGTAATTTTTTTGTAATGATTATTCTCGACAAAAACACAATAGTGGTACCATAAGTGCACATTAGCATGTGCTAACTGCAATCAGAATACCATATAACTTGAATTAAGAATTGAAAGTAATCACCAAAAAAGAAAAAATTAAAAATGTAAATGATGGACCCCATATACCTAGACTTCCCAAGGCAGCCCAGGATTGTAGACGACTTGCAGACCCATGAGTGATCTGGATACATGGGCCTCAGCAGAGAACTCTGAGTGACATTTCTGGCCCTCCAGTCAATGCAGAAACAGCTTTCTAAACCAAAGCAACTGACCAAACAGTCCAATGCAAACTAGTGTTGATGTAGAGCAAATTACCTGGTAGCTATTGAGCTTTTAGAATAATTGAGGTTTAACCACTCAACTATTAATAGTATATTTTTATCAAGTGAACTAAAAAAATATAAATTTTAACTATTCTATCTGATTTGTCGTTAATTCTACCAGATCTAACTATTAATAGTGTGTCTCGTGAACCATGCAAACCCTTTGGTCTCGTAGAGTTAATAGTAAGATTAGATGGAATGATCCAAAATTTACACTTTTAATAGTTTATTGAGTAAAAACGTACTATTAATAGTTGAGTGACCAAATTTTAACCATTCAAAAGGTTTAGTGGCTATCCGGGTAATTTGCTTGTTTATTAATTGTAGTATCTTCGTTTGGAATGAGGAATTTAACAAAGCATTTCAAATTCACCAGAGTTGCTCTAGTAGTTTGAATTGTTTAAGAAGTATTTGAATTTGTATTTCACCAATTATCAAAAGCACATTTCAAATACTAAAATAATTGTTGATTTACAAATTCAAATACCTTTTAAATAATCTCAACAACTAAAGGGGATTTGAGAAAATTGCAAATCCTTCGTCAAATTATTCAATCTAAATGCAAACTGAAATAGTTTGATGTAATGAACTCTGTAATAATATGAAGGGAGAAACCTTTCCTCGTTGTAGTTGTTTCCATTCACTTGTGGTCAATTTTAAGTAGCAAATATCTACAATCAAGGCTAACGATGAGATTATATATACATTTTCTTTCTAAATTGAGTTTAGGTACCTGAGAATACTTTCCCACAGTTGGACATTTGAATAAAAAAAAATTGTACGTTTTCGTTCTACATGGATAGGGTACTAATTGATAACCATTTGCCATAGATCTCCTAATGATTTACTTATACGTTTTATTAGTGTCTCCATTCTTTTGATCATGGATATTGATTATTAACAAAATTATTAAACGGAAATGTTATTTGAACTCATTTTTTGTTGATCGCATTCTCACCATTTATTTTATCATAGAGTCTAGTAAATGAGAGCCATATGATAAAAATGATAGTGGAAGTATGATTAACAAAAATTGGAATACAAATAACATTTCTTTTATAAAATAAGCTCCAAAAAAAATTTTCTCTTTTCACGGAAGTATATCTCATTTCTTTTTCAAAATTGTATGCATAACAAATTTGTCATGATCATTACAAGTCATGGGAAGCTCGTTTCAAGTCTTCGTGACCTTTTTTTCTCTCCATCTGACAATTTTTAAAAATGTTCTCTTCTTTCAATTTTCCCCTCTAAAAAACCTGAAATAAGTTCAAATGTCTTTTATCTTTTACTTTACAATTCAAAATCATGTTTCAATAGTACGAGTAAAATCTATCAAAATGTTAACCTTGTTTCATTCAAAATTTTCATCGTAAAGTATGTAATTGAAAATAATATCTTTATATAGCAATGATTTTAGTGCATGATCTACATAATTTTGTCCTTTACTATTCTATCTTTTGCCCCTACTGACCTCAAGTCCTGACTCAACCACTATTTAATGCAATTGGTAATTACTTGAGAACTATAATGTTTCAAATATTTTTGGAGGGGGTGTGATGGAATCCCTCGTGAACCCAATTTCTCTGGAAAAAGAAGACAATCAAGAACCCCAATGATCAATTTCAAACTCTCCAAAAAACAAATAAAAAGAAAAATATTCATTAACTTTTGATAAGTAAAATATAAAAAAAAATTCCCGTATCATATTCGAGAAATTTCAACTTACTGATTAAATAGTTCTAAATGCTGCTCTTAAGAGAGAATCATAGAATGATTGAACAGCATTTCCTATGAATCGGAAACACATTACGCGCTTTTCTTTTCAACTTGTGAATCGGAGTACTGGACTTCAATATATTACTCGCTTTTACCTCTACTTCCCACGTCCCCCAGCTCCCATTCCACAATCACAGCATCCCGCATGCCCAATTCACATCCTACACTATATGAATAATATAAGCATATCCACAAATTACACAACTAAATAGTAAAATAACTATAATTTCCCGTAGAAAATTAAACCAAGCTATTTTAGTATTTAGTTTCCTAATTTGTTTTGGTAGCTTATTTGTTTAGTTTCCATATTAGATTAGGAAATCTCAAGTTAGTTTCCAAATAAGTTTTGGTTTGCAATTATATTTGTTGTAGGAAACTTTAGAGTCTCTAAATACTAGCAGTCTAGTAGGTTATTAATAGAAGTGGAGAGTTGAGTTGAGTCGAGAGATTAGACTTGAGAGAAAATCTCATAATTGAGATTTGTGAGTTGTAGTGAGTGAAGCGACTTGATATTTGCTACTATTGAGTTTTGAGTGAAATAAATTATTGAGTATTTGTTCTCCTCCTCTTCCCACATATTTTTATAGGGAAAAGAGTTCCAATGGCTCTCCAACTCTTTCCCAGGTAAAGTTTTAACCCTCTAACAATTGACGATAAAGGTTTGGCCCTCGATCTAATAAAATAGCATATTCGTGGTCCTTCTGTCAAATCCAGCAGTTAAAATTGACAGGAAGTATCATCTTGTAAGATACGCGACCAAATATCAAGGGTATTATAGTCTCTTTCCCAGGACAGAGTAAAAAAACTTTCACCACTGATTTATATGTATAAATGTAAGATACGCGACCAAATATCAGGGTAACTCAGTAACTTTTGACATCGTTGAGGCTTTATATGTATAAATGTAAAAAACAAATTAGGATAAAAATAGTTTGTTATTTTCTGCATGACTCATGAGATATGTCATAATCGTATCATAAATTTTAGAGTTTATTACAAATGGTAACTGTTTGAGAGCTATAATATTTTAAACCTTTTTTACGTGCTTTATGCTATTATTAGGTATAAAGTATAAGTATTTTAGAATATTTTCAAAATGTACATAATTTTGTAGTTATTCAGGACTAAATGTAAGAACGTATACTGCAGCTATAATATGAATTTACATTAGGTTTTGACCATTTGTCACGAAACAATTCAGTGTAAGGCCAACACATGATGTGAAGTAAAGAAAAAATGGTCATTTACTTTTGGCAAAGTAAAAAATTTTAAAAAAAATCCTATACCATATTAGAGAAATTTCAACTTACTTGGTCAATAGGTGCAAATGGTGCTCTTAGGAGAGAATCATAGACTGATTGAAGAAAAACATGTATCCTGTGGCGGTGAAATGTTTTGGAAGAGAAGTTATCTTACTCCAGAATAAGAAAAAATCATATGTCCAATAATTTTCAGAGCGATCATATGGTTGTAACTACGAATAAGAAAAAGATATTAAGTATAGGGTTTGAAAACAATATTGAGGATAGGACTTGAAAACAGACTAAACTTTCCTACAAAAATACTTAAATCTTATTATTTGAGCCAATTCTTTTTTTTTTTTATTTAAATACATCCTTATTTATTATATGTTAACCAAATACATCATATCATTCCATCCGGCGAAGAGCCGCAACTCCTAACCTATCTAAGTGGAAAGCTCCTCTCGCAATTTGGGGTAATGCTGAAGCTGCCAAGTATATCTCCTCCCGGCCCAGCCGACACCCTTCACTGGCCAATGTATCTGCCACCTGGTTAGCCTGGCGATAACAGTGACGAACTCGTGGAACGTGATGCAACAGCCCAAACAACTGATAAACCTCCTTATAAATACTCCAAGGGCACCGAGATGTCCGATTTAAAACCTGCACTAGCACCAAGGAATCCAGCTCAACCTCAAATGAATCAAAACCCCGCTGGAGGCATAACCTGACCCCAAAAAGAAGAGCCCGGGCCTCAGCCTGCATACTCGAAGCCAACCCAAAATTACACAAAAACGCCAGGATCAGCCTACCACTAGCCTCCCGAAGCACACCCCCACCCCCACTCTCCCCCGGGTTACCCTTGGAGCACCCGTCTGTGTTGAGCTTGAGGCCCCCATGAGAAGGCCTTACCCAACTAACTAGCATGTAAGACCTGGCTGCATTCCAACTAGAAACCTCCAGATAAAAATCTACCCAAGATAATGCCGAGACCCTGCACTCCGGAAACTGTACCCTAAACAACTATAAAAGCTCGACAACAATACCATGACATATCCGAACCCCCTCGATCTTCTGACCATCATATTTCATGCCATTCCTAGCCTTCCATATGTGCCAGCAAATCAACAAGGGAGTAACAAGATGAATAAATTTCAGAAACTTATTTCCGCGCTTCCCCTGCCACCAGGCCGCCATACAGACTCGAAAGGCCAGCCCAGTCCAGGCAACTCCAACCGAATCCCCAAAGAAGTGCCACACTTGTCGCGCCAAATCCCCAGTAGCAAACACATACTCCGTAGTTTCGACCTCAGGAGAAGCACAACACACGCATCGCGACGGTCCATGAATCCCCAACTTCCATAAGGTACCATCTAAGGGAAGACGATCCCGCAGGAGGCGTAACAGGAAGAATGAAATTCTCAATGGCACACCTTGATGCCAAATACATTTGAATAGTGGCGAGGGGGAGGACTGACGTCGGACCAAGTTGAAAGCTGACTTTATTGTGAAACATCCCGAATGCTCTGGTCTCCAAACCATGAGGTCAGGCAAGTGGCCGGCAGGTGGGTCAACTCGAACAATCTCAGCAACTATCTCCGAAGGCACCCATTGTGCAATACTTCTAACATCCCAGGTAGCCTGTTTCACAAAATCCACAATCTTATTGTCGGACACGCTCTCCAGCCGGTCTGACAAACCTCCTGAACCAAGCCAATTGTCAAACCAAAAATTAGCACTCCCGGAACGAACAATCCATCCGATATGCCTCTCAGCGATATTCCGCACTTTCACCATCCGTGACCACACCTCTGACCCTTTGCCATCAAACACCAGATTAGGGTGCACCGCCCGACAAAACTTAGCTTGCATGAACTGAGCCCACAAGGATGTTTTTGCCCGAAAATTCCACCACAACTTGATTGAGAAAGATTTGTAGACATCCTCCAATTGGCGCAGACCAACCCCCCCTGCGTCTTGTGGCACACACAGGTCCTGCCAGCGAATCCAATGATACTTGGGACCCCCCTCTGAAGCTCCCCAAAGGAAATTAGCAAACATGCCCTCAAGCTCTTGGAAAATAGCTTTGGGAGGAGAAGCCGCCATTAACAGATGAATCGGCATAGATGAAAGGACATGCTTCAACAACACTATCTTCCCTCCCTGAGACAACACCCTGTTCTGCCAGGACTGAATACGAAGAAGGACTGCTTGACACAAACCCCCAAAAAACTCTTTCTTCCGGCGCCCGCAATAGAGGGGGAACCCTAGATATTTAATCGGGAAAGGCTTATACATGAAACCAGTTAACCTCTGAATGGCCATCCTCCTGGATAGGCCTACCTTTGGGTGCACCAAGAAACAACTTTTCCCTGCATTAATCCGTTGCCCAGACACAGCCTCATAGTTTGTCAACACCCGCTTTACTAACTTTAAGGATCCCGCAGACGCACTGGAGAAAACCAGCACATCATCCGCATATCCTAAGTGAGTCACTAGAGGGCACCCCCTTGGAACGGAAAACCCATGAAACCCTCGGAAACACGGCAAACTATTCAGCGACCTCGACAACACCTCGGCTCCAATGATAAACAAAGCAGGGGAAAGCGGATCTCCTTGACGTAACCCCCGAGCTGACTTAAAGAAGCCAAACAGCGCCCCATTGACAACCACTGAAAACCAGACATTCGAAATGAGCCGCCAAACCATATCAATCCACTGCTCTCCAAACCCAAAAGCCCTAAGCACATTGATCAAAAAAGGCCATACTACCCGGTCATAAGCTTTCATCATGTCTAACTTCAATGCCACATTCCCTCCCCGTACCTTGCTACCCATATTAGACAATAGTTCCTGAGCTAGCAAATAATTATCCGAAATTAACCGTCCCCGAACGAAACCACTTTGATTCGTAGAAATGATCTTGGGAAGGATAGGCGCAAGTCGAGCTGCTAGAATCTTCGACAAAATCTTGTCCACAAAGTTACACAAACTGATCGGTCGAAACTCAGAAAAACTCTTCGTCCGTGCTACCTTGGCCAAAAGAATTATGGAGGTAGCAGTAACCTGTCGTGGAAGCTCCTCACCACAGAAAAAGTTTAGCACCGCCCTATACACATCTCTGCCAATAATATCCCAGGAAGAGGTAAAGAATTTCCCAGTGAACCCATCCGGCCCGGCGGCACTATCCCCGTCCATCGCAAAAACCACGTCCCGCACTTCCTCAAAGGATGGCATATTCTGCAACTGCTCATTGTCATCCTCCGACAACAACTTTGGGATGACCCCAAGTACCTCTGAACTTGCTGGAGCCTCTTCCATCGAAAAAAGAGACGAGAAGTACTTAATTGCTTCAGCCCCGATACGCGCGTCCTCAGTCACCCACTCTTGATTGGCATCCTGGACCCCATGAATCACTGCTTGCATGCGCCGTTGCTTCACCACCGCGTGGAAAAAGCTGGTGTTCCTATCCCCCAACTGCAACCATTTGACTCTAGACCTCTGCTTCCATAGGGCCTCCTCCATGGCCAACGCACGACTAAGCCGAGCCTGGGCCTGGTGTAACTGCAGTTGATCGTTCTCAGAACCCCCGCCTACCATACATTGGTCCAATCGAGCCACTTCCGCCTCTGCCTTCCTAACATTGTCAGAAAAATTCCCAACTTTGTCCCTATTCCACGCTTGAATACTCCTCTTTACACGTTGTAACTTTGAACAAAGGACGTGCAACGGAGGTCCCTCACACTCCTGCTCCCAAGACTGCTTCACCACCCCCAAGAACTCCTTATGGGCAGCCCAAGCGTTAATGAACCTAAAACACCGAGGTTTGCTATCCAACCGAGTAGATACCGCCATGAGCAACGGGGCATGATCCGAAGGGTGCCGCGCCAAATGATCAACTGTGACAGAAACATGTAAATCCATGCATGCCTCATTCAGTAAGACACGATCCAACCGCTTCCAAATTCGCGCTCTACCGTGACGGTTATTGCACCAAGTAAAGTTCGACCCTGAGAAACCCCCATCAAACAAACCCGCAGAGGCCATAAAATCAACAAAATCTCTAGCCTCCGCCACCCTAAAAGGCCGCCCACCTCTTTTTTCCCACGGTTCAACGACCACATTGAAATCTCCAACAACAATCCAAGGCCTCTGATGCGGCTGACAATGCAACACCCCGTCCCAAAGAACCCTCCTTTCCTCTCCCGTAGATGCAGCATGAACAGCAGTAACAGTAAGTGGAGCTGACAATTGAGGATGACTAATTTCCAGTGATAAAAATTGATCCCCCTCAGTCGTCACAAAACCCACAAAAGGTAAATTAAAAAACACCCACAACAACCCCGACGAATGAGTTCGAACACAATCAAAACCTAATCTAATACGAAACTCCTCAGCACGAGACACATTCACATGAGACTCACATACCACAAGTAATTGGAGCTTATTTGTGACTACCAAATATTTTAATCTCCTAAAATGAGAGGCCTTAGCAAGACCCCTTACATTCCAAAATAATGTATTAATCATCAGAACGGGATGGACACAGCTCATGAGATCTTACCGTAGAGCGAAGCTCCCTATCCGAAGGAAATTTGGCCCGCAGCCCTTTAGCTCTAGTCTTGGCCGTCTGAAAATTATCATCAACTACTTGACAGGGGTGCTCCACTAGCTGGGCCACGTGAAGCCGTTCAGCTGCCACTCCTATTCCTCTTGGAGACAAATTCCCTGCTGCCGTGCAGCCCTGAACATCAGGTTCGTCAGACACATACCCTTCCTGCACTTCGTCACCACGCACCAGCCCCTGCTCCACCTCCAGCACAACCTCTAACGTCCCATGTAGCTGAGCCGACAGACCAGCAACAGGCACCACCTCCTGGTTATCCACAACATCACCCCCATCCTGCACAACTCGGCCTACAACATCATCCCCCTCCCCCTCCACAATCACCACTTCAGTCCGAAGCCCATCGCCCCCCTCCTCACTGCTTTGTTCGGTAACCACCAGCTCTGCAATTCGCTCCAGCTCTGCTGCAACCGCGGTCTGCATTGCACCGTCGACTAGCGACTCCAGCTCTCCTTGGAGACCTGCCATCCCTGCTCCCTCACCTCGTTGCTGGCTAAGCGCAGCAAGAGGCAATGGGGAAGACACAAGCCGCGCAGCGTCCTGGAGAGACATGGGTTCCTGCTGTCTTGTCGGCTCGACAACCTCCTCTGCCGCAGCCGTAAAACTCTTGTCGCGGGGACCCCCCCAGGAGGAGACTTGACCTGGGCATCACCCTGCCCAACCTCAGCATACGATGAAGACGCCCCACCCAGCAGGACAAGGGACGTTCCCTTTGCGACAGGAGACCCTGCCGTTAGCCCAGCCGCACCAGGATCTAGCTTCCCCCCACCAGGAGCCTCCTGCGTTGCTGCCTTATCCTCTGCTTCCCCAAAAGCCTGGACCGAAGGAGCATCCCGCACCCTCTTTGCAGGCCTCAAGGCTGGCTGTAAAACGTGACATGCATCCACCCGATGACCCTGTCGATAGCAGTGTAGACAATAGCTAGGCAAATTTTCTGGCCGCAGCTCTTGCCAAAACCCTTCATGACCACCATTCCCAATCCAAACCCGAGGAGGTAAAGGCTTCAGCAGGTCCACCTCCACGCAGACCCTAGCCACATTCGGTCGCGAGACAGCCATGGTAGCGGCGTCGACCAGCAAAGGAACGCCCACCAAGCCTGCGATTTGGGACAAAGCTTCCTTATGGAAAAAATGAAGAGGCAACTTGGGCAATTGGAACCACACCGGAACCACCGAAGGCTCACGATCAACATGAAAAGCTGGCGACCATTTGAATACTCTCATGGGGAAGCTCTGGACGTACCACAACCCCCTGGACCAAAATCTGTGAAAATCTGCTTCATTCTGAAATTGAAAAATTACATGACGGCTATCAAGCAATCCCACCGGAACAGCCTCACGCAAATCAAGCTTGAGGATGAACCGCCGAATCTCCTCCAACTTAGGCCTGCAGCGTGAGAATTTCCCCACCAACGCAAAGCGATATGGGACAGCAAGTCTCTCCAGGGAATCCTGCGAAAAAAGAACGGCTGGTTCTCCCTTGTGAGTGGTAAAAGATGTTTGGATAGAAAGCTGCGGCGTGGAAGAGTTATTAGAGAAGAGGTCCGCAAACGATTTCCGAGAAAAGGTTAGGGGCGAGGAAGAAGGAGGCCCCCCAGCGGGGGGCTGGAGGGCTGCCATGGAAACAGCCCTCGCCGGCACAAGCAAAGGGAAGCAGAGCGGCAAAACCCTAGAGAGCGTTTTTCAAAACCCTAACTATACCTTCATTTTTAGTTAATCTAATTCTTTAAATTCGCCAATTCTTGTTGACAATTATAAGGACAAAAACGACAATAATTTACTGTTCCATTGGCCAATATTTCAACCTTCTTAATCAATTCAAGACCACAAGATAATGCCATGAATTCTATATCACCCGTAAGACTTCCAAAATTCAGGTTGATATAACGTGTCCTAAAACTCATTTTAACATCTCCTTCTCCAGCTTCATTTTATCTCGTGGATTTCTCATAATTTCATTTTAGTATCTTTATTTTCAACTTAAAATAATCTTGTGAAAAAAAAAAAACTTAACTGTATAAGCAAAAACAAAAGAAGCATGGTTATCATCATCCTTCACTTTTTCTACCGGTTAAGTTCACAGTTAGCTTCCAAGTTCCCGCTCGTGAACCAAATTTCTAGGATGGAATCTAATTTGGGTCCCCATGTTCGAAAGTTTATCACTAGACAACCTGAAAAGGTATGCAGTAATATTTTCGCTCTACTTTATCATGCAATTGCTTGTAATCAATAATTGTACTACTACACTATTAGGAAACTCACTACTTTCTCCTCAATAAAAGACCATCTCCATTGCCAAAAAGCTTTGCATACACTAATTGTTTCTACGTCGGTTCAAATTAGAGGTGGCAAAATGGGTGATTTGGGCGGGTTTGGGTTGGGTAAAATGGGTAATGGGTATAAGTGAGTCAACCCATTTATATCCATTTAATTAGATGGGTATAAATGGGTAAGTCAAAAAATGAGTTGGGTAACCCAATTATCCATTTATAACCCATTTATTCTAATTTTTTACAAGCTCATATAAATTCATTTTGTAAACTAAATTATCAATTTATACCATTTTACACCCATCATTAATTTTAAATATTTACTTATTATGCCAAATAAGTCTAATTATCAATTTTTTTTCCTTCCGCGTGCCATGTTGCAAAATTACATATTATTTAATAATTGAACAATGAGAATCTAACAATTTGGACTAAATAATATGAAAGTTAACAAAAAAATTTAATTCAAAACTTTGAACCCCTAGTATTTTTTCGTTTATAAATTTAAATTTTCATTTGAAAAGGTAAGAAAGGAAGCTAAAATTTGTCATAAATTGATGATGCTAAAAAATGATCAAATTAATAAATTACAAGGAAATAAAGCGATAAGATAAAACCAACAAATAAATATAATAAATAAAACAAAAATACTTAACATAAAAAAATAGTTAAAAATCCTTATGAAGACTAGCAATCACTTCATTTAGCATACAAATAAAGACAAATTTTCAATAAATACGAATAACAAGCGACTTAAAAAAACTGAAAATTTTCTCTCAAAAAAACAACTTAAAAGAAGGAGGTTTAGAAGTATCTTACCAAATAGAGAAGAAACTGAAACTCAAAACCGGTAAATATACGGAGCTTCGTAAGAGAATTGCGCAACTAAAATTTCGTCGCATTTGTTTCACCAGCTGATCATGATTTCAAAGTCTCAAGTTCTCCTCTCTCTTATTAGCTCTCTGCTTCCTTCTTTTCAAAAATTTCCCTCGTTTCTTGCTTACGCTGCCGACTCACGAGTCACGACCGATTCTTCTAGAGCGAGGATTTCACTTGGTTTTTATTTTTCTAGAGCAGGAATGTAAGTTAAATGGGTTAAATGGGTTAGATGGGTTACCAATTAAACCCATTTAATAAATGGGTATAATTGGGTAACCCATTTATATCCATATATAAAAATTTAATGTACCCATATCCAGTTATTAATGGGCGGGTATGGGTAAAATTAATTAAATGGTTTTATTTGACACCTCTAGTTCAAATTATCATCTTCCTCCGAATATTGTTTCTTAAACTTTACTTTGAGTAATCAAGCAGCTTCGCGAAATACTGGGAATTTTCCGATATACATCAGATCAGCTATTCCCAGAGGTTTCTTTTGCTTATGAAGTCGATGACATATTAGATGATTATGCAACCGAAGTCTCGAGAGAACCGAAGTGCAACAACATATGTTGCAATGTATTGGATTGTCTTCCAGCAACATCAAACATATGGTTTCGGGACAGGATTGGAGCAAGGATGAAGAAAATCATTGGAAAATTTGATGCAGTTGCTGATGAGAGAATAAAGCTTGGATTGAGTGATCAAAAGCGTGGGAGCAACCACTTTCTGGTTGATTCCACTGCAACACGTGAGACTGGTTCCTTGCTAAAGGAACCTGATCTAGTCCTTGGAAGGGACGAGATATTGGTGAATCAAGTCAGAGATAATCAAAATGTATCAGTGCTCCCTATAGTGGGTGTTGGAGGCCTTGGAAAGACAACACTTGCCCAATTGGTCTTCAATGATAAGCGCGTAACTGAGCATTTTGAGCTAAAACTCTGGGTTTGAGTTTCAGAGGATTTTGACGTGAAAAGGATAATAAAAGCCTTAATTGAAAAGGACAATCTAACTTCATTGCCAGACTTGTTCGGAGACCACCTCACTTCTCTTCAACACCTGACACTAATAGATGAGAGAATCACTTCCATCCAGCATTCAAATGATGACAACACTCCAAAATTTGACTATAGATACGTGCCATCTACTACTACCACGGTGTGAAATGGGAGGAGAGGAATGACACAAAATTAAGCACATCCCGAACCTGAGAAATTGGTAATACAATTACATATGGGTGGGTCTGCATATTCATGTATTACGTAATAAACTATTTGTGTACTGTCCTATAAGTGTGGAAAAGACCATACCCAGTCGATATGAATTTAGTCGATTTTGGGATTTGACTACAATTCGTTTTTTCTCGTAATGCTATTACTTTAGGCCATCCACATTTGAAAATGTAAAATTAATTAGAGAAAGTAAATAAAGGAAAAATCGTTCAAAACATCCCTCACATTTTGTAAAATAACTTTTTTCGTCCGTCACTTTTAAAAATATAATTTTACGTCCCTTACAAATTCACATTGGTCAAATTTCGTCTTCACTTACGTTTCCGACTAGATTTTGGTCGGAATTCACCACGTGCCTTGCATGTGATCATATTTTAAGGACAAAATTGTCAAATCAAATTTTATATAATTTGATTCATAATCTCTCACATTTCATAAAATAAATTTTTTCGTCCCTTACATTTCACAAAATGAACTTTTTCATCCTTCACATTTTTTAAAATGAATTTTTTCATCTTTTATTGATCATGTATGTGAATAATTTTTTTTAAATCCATGTATATATCTATTTGATTTCACCTGAACAATACGAATAGCATGTGAAATCAAATAGAGATATATTACATACTATTTATACTACTCAAGTGAAATCAAATAGATATATACATGGGTTTTAAAAAATTGTTAGTTTTTCACTTATATTCATTTTCTTTTACTCGAAATTTGAAAATAAAGAAAACATTTAATCCTAAATATTATCGAGTGTTTATATCGAATTAAATTTGGACAGAAAAAGTAAATAAAAGAAAAGTATGACAAAAAGAAATAAATGATTAGCACTTTCAAATTTTAAAACAATCACAAGGCAAGTAATTCAACTGTTGGTCTTAAATATGTCGAGTAGAAATTTCAGATTTAAATTGAAATTTGTTACCACAATTATAGAATTCGAGTTAGGACCCATTAATTAGATGATCTTATTATACAACTCAATAAATAAATTATTACCAAAAGAGAAAGGTCACAAATATTGAATAGGT